TCTGTGGAAGCTGGAACGCAGGGACTGGCACAAATGCTGACACCAGCTCCTACTAGTGCTGTGAGCAAGAAAGCTCAGCCCTGTCACAGACTGGGGTCTCATGCGTGCTGCCAGCCCCCAGGAGACTTTGTGTGGTGGGCTAGCTCAGTTACTCTGGAAATAGGGCAAGGTCTGAAATTCTTCACAGCCCTTGACAGCTCACTTTTCTGAGTCTCAATTTCCTCAACTGTAAAATGGGAACAACAGAAAGGCTGTGGGGATGACAAGCATTGATACATAAAGGGCTTAGAATAGCTTTCAGCCCTGGATACATGCTCAAATTAAGATAGTTATTTTAGGGGCGCCTGGGTGGCTCAGTCAGTTAAGCAGCTGCCTTCAGTTCAGGTCATGATCCCGGGGTCCTGGGATCAAACCCTGCATCAGGCTCCTTGCTCAGTGGGAAGTCTGCTTCTCCCTCTCCCTGCTGCTCCCCCTGTTTGTGCTCTCTCACTCTCTCTTGCTGTCTCTGTCAAATAAGTAAATAAAATCTTTTTTTTTTAAAGTTATTTTATCTACTCCTGTAGGCCAAATGTTTCAAACCTCAAAAAAGCAAAAGAAACATAAAAGGGGACAAGCCCACGGTGGATGAAGAGACAGACTTACTAGGGTCTCTGAATGAACTGAAGCTTCAAAAGTCCTGAAATAATTTACAGATGCGATTATAGAAGACTACTCATAACTCCGAAAAATAATCTTCTGAAAAGAAAACAGGGGCGAGAAAACAAAAAATGCCAAAAATCCCAGTTTTAAGAAATGGATTCTGGACACAGCAGACAGGCCAGTGAGATGCAGATTCCTGAAAACATTCTAGAATTGATGATGAAACAGATGGTCTGTAAGCCTGTGGTAAAAAACACAGTGAACACTGGAAGCCTGCATGAGCCCACAAGTAACATGCTGTGCTGTACTAATATTTTTTCTGAGAGGATTATCAGGTTAACCACCAAAATACCGTGAAAAGAGTATAGCATGATTTCCGCAAGAATGGGCAATGTGGGATGGAGGAAGAGGCTTTGAATGAGAACATAAAGAAGGCAGCTACTGACCTGAAAGATCTCTAACGGAGTGCCAACTCTATCCTGTGCACTGGGGTTAGCCTAGACTTGGGCAAAGGTACAGAAAACATGTCTGGAGATGGCATAAACCTGGAAGAGCAAGCATGCCATCTGAAATATTTCCACAGTCCGGAAGCACGGCCTAGCCCAACAGAAGCAGAATTCAGTTCTCCGCTGGGGTTCTTTGCAAGCCAGACAGTGGCTAAGGGAAGTAAACCTGGGATTTCAGTTGCCTAGAGGCCTGGGGAGCCCCAGGCCAGAGGTGGGATGCAGCTCCTGAAAGAAAGACGCTTTGGCCACACTGAGCCGCAGCAGCACAGGGATGTGGCCTGACACCCCGAGCAGATGCCACCATGAGCCATCGTGTCCAGTGCCTTGTGTACATCTCTTGCTTAACCCTTACAACCCAGGCGTACAGATGGAGGATGAAGTTCAGAGAGCTGAAAGAACAGACACACTGTGCCAAGACCATGGGACTCCTCCGCCGCATAGCCAGGATGCAACCCCAAGTCTGGGCCACCCCTTGGCCTGTTGAGACGCCCACACCACTGTCCAGTGGCCTCGGTCACCCCTCACCAGCAGAGCTGCACCCAGTCCCCCAGGTCACTCTCAAGGCCAGGTCACATGAGAAACTGCAGAACTAGAGCAAATCAAGCTGAAGGAGAAGGAGAAAGACGTGATGAAGACTAAATGCATGATCACGCCTTACCAGACCTCTGCAGGGCATGTTCCTGCTCCTCACTCCCCACTTGCCTCGGTCCACGTCCCTCCATGTGCCCCGTCTGCCTGAATCCGGCCCCACCAGCCTGCTGGCAGGTGCCTGAGCCCCCGCTTCACTCACACCTTGAGACACTGCACCTGAAGGCCTGCCCCCCTCCATGGCACGCCACTTTCAATTGGCCAACTCTGCCTCGTCCGTCCTTCAGACCTCAGCTCCCTCCAGAGACTGCTGCATTGGACTGGGGCCTGGGCCGAGCCCACCCACTGCTGCAGGGTGACCATCTGCTGAATGTCCTTCAATAGACACCCCAGTACATCTCCTGCTTGATGACAGAGCCTCTCATGCACTAACCCTTGGGGAAGATTAAAAAACAAGCAAAGTTATTTTAAGGGCCCCTACAAATATGAATTATCTTATCAAAAATTAATTTAACAAATCTAAAATACCATCACTAATACTTTTGTGATAGGAATTTATTAGGTTTTGGTTTCCAGACCTCTACAAAGTTAATGCACAATTGTCTGTCCCCCAGAAGAGAATAAGGACATCAGCAGCAACGGAGAGAGGCAATCTCGCCTCAAAACCTGGATTTTCCACCTTCTTCTCAGATATAATCAACGGGAGGCTCTACCTTTGATACTATTCCATGTCTTCTGAAATGAGGTTAACTCTACTCCTAAAAGATCTGAATCAGTTAATGAATTGCAAATTAACAATTCTGACAGTGCCTGGCTGAAAAAGGGAAAGGAATCTGACAAACCAGTTTGACAGAAAAGATCACCTCTCTGGCTTTGGAGTGACTAAAATGACAACATGTCAGAGGAAAGGGTGTGTTTGTGGAACCGTTTGTTCCCTACAATCAAACTACCACTTTATCTGGAGGCATGCACCCAGCTCTTCAGGATGCAGCTTGGTAGAGAAAATGCCTTCCTGAGGACCACCAACCATGAAGTGATGCTATGTCCAGCCCCAGAAGGTGCCTTTCTTTGGTCTATGTTTTGTATCTCCCAAGAGCTTGGTCTCCTATGAAGTAAACCATGAAAGACAAATGAAAACAGACCCTGCTGCACAGTGTTATTGGACAATGCTCTGTTTAAAGTACAGGCCTGCAGTCTGCCAAACCTTCTCAGAGAAGCCATACATGGGACGATTCTCCTCTCCCATTCCCATTCAAACGATGTTTTAATGGACAATAAAGAGCAAGCCTAAAAATAAACAGCAAGCAGCAGCTGGAGATGTTAGGAGGGTGTAAAGACTGAGTTTTATACTCTGCAAGTAGAACTGCACCCCAAATCTACTTTTAGCCATGAGTCCCCCAGTAAGGGTAGAAATGATCTTCCATAAGAGCGAAGGGGTAGGAGAAGGCAGAATTAACTGCCTCTTGGATGCAGCTGTGGATGTCATGGGGTTTCTTCTTGAGCTTTCATTATTATTTCACAACCTTGCCCCGTTGTTAGATCTGACCCTGTTGAGCCAGTCTTTAGTGTACATGCTGCTTCTTCTGTTTCTAGGAGTTTCTAGGCCTTCAATATGATGGAAAAGCTTTCTTCAATCCAATGCTACAAAAGTAGCAACCATATTCTGACATTTACCAGGTTTACTGCAAACCGTGAGGAAGGATTTTTAAATTAATTAAATAAAATTCTCCACACACATAAGCATGCTCAGAACTTCTGCCCAAACGCTAAATGCTCCTAACATTGCCATCCCCTTTTGAATCACATTGGAAAGCTTTACCTTATATCAAGCCAGCATCTGTGTTCATGCAACTTATACCCATGGCTCCTCTTTTGTTCCTGACCCAAGTGTCTTGTCCATATCTTTCAAATATTCAGTTTTGTTTCTCCCCTTCAGTCCTTCATGGTTTTCAGATCATTCAGCCAACTGCCCACATGACTCCGCTCATGCCCCAATTTGCCTATGTCCCTTTAAAATGGGATCCAGGAACTGGACTGTGGGCTATGAGAGTCTTTATCATTTTACCACTATGCAGACATCAAACACATTAGCTCTTCTTTCTATGCCATTCTCGTGACCAATTAGCACAAGGGCAGGCTGCAGCTGTTCAGTAAGCATTAATTGGTGGTGATAAAATGTTGTGGCAGAGAAATGTCTGACAAATGTGTTCAGCAAGTCCATGACCCTACAGCCAAGTTTACAAAACTGTAGTATGGAGTAACTTTACAGTGAATTTCAATTCATCCTATAAAAGCCTACACAGATAATTCAAACAGGAGAGCCTCTTGGACCTCACTGCCCATACAGCTGGAGAAGCTGACTGGGGATTTGCATCTGGAATGTAATGATTTCAAATCCAGAGGTTCATGCTATCATGGATTATCCCAAACCATCTGTATTGGTTCAGAGAAAGGCCATCTGGCAAAACCCTTTCCCATTCCATATTCCAAGTACTTGATTGTACATTGGAGGTATAATTTGAGCTTTTTTTCTTTTTCTCGTATTTTCTATGTTTTTATTTGAAGTAGACAACTGGGTCAGATGAGACAGACTCAGAAGTTATTATAAAGGTCACAGATAGAGTTTCAGCATACAAAAATGCCAAATAAAGATGTCTCCTTTATAGTTAGGCAAGAAGTATTTCAAGAGAGGATAATTCTGTTTGTATAAGCATTAAAATATTATAGATGTTATATAAGTCTATATTATATATGGTAACACATATGTAACTACTAACATCATATAATGTCTAAAAATGACCACTATGGTTGTGCCACTAATAGATTAAAATTAACTGAGAAACTCTTTGGCAGAATGTGGTTCCTTCTTCACATAACTGTGAAGATACTGGATTTATGGACAACCATTTATCTCCTGGAAAAGGGGCATCTGTATGGTCCAACATTCTGAGACCTTTTTTGAACCTCCCAAAGGTAAATAAATCAGGGATGGCAGCCACACTCGGTCTCGGTCACTGGGCCATTCCAAAACTGGATTACCTTTCCATGTATACTCCCCTTTCCTGCCATCTCATGTCCAAGTAAAATGTCATCAACTATAAATTACCAGTGATAGGCTCTCACCATGGAATCAGAGATCTGTGTAGGCCACTGAGGGAAGACCTCTTGCAAGAGGGTTATTTGAAAAGAAGTACAGATTATACCCAGAGTGGGGTCAGACACATTGTATTTCTATAGACAAAATCATTAAGCAGAAACACAGCAGGATTTGTTTAATAATAAAGTGGTTTGTTGGGGTTTAGGATTTTATTATTTCTTTTTAGAAAAATGAGAAAATTTACAAGATGCAAAGGTCTTACACAATACATTATCACCGATATTTGTTCTCTTTACACCCTAACCCGGGCCCTGACTTAGCTAGTGTTGGGAAGAACATGGACAGCGTGAATGCAGTTGAGACCCATCATGGACACATGTGAAGGGAGGACTCGGTGACAAATGATGTTGGGCCAGCCTGTTTCAAAAGCAAGCCAAGAAATCACAGGAACCAGCAGTCTTTGCATGGGGGAAGCATAGGTGTATGCCCTGCTGCCATGTGCATGGGGTGCAGGCCCCTGCACTGCCAGCACCCACTTCTGCTATTAGACCACAGCAACAACAGAAAACGGTGTCATTCCTTTGGTGTTGTTGTTTTGTTCTGCTTTGTTTCTGCAGGGCTACTCGGGGTCCCAATTTCTTATTTCTGTCTTTTCATGATTCAGTTCCAGATTCTTAAAGCAGTGTAGGTACTCAGCATCTTTCATGAATTTTTCAGGATCCAGTTCTGCCCAATGATAATGCACTACAAAGAACAAAGATAAGACACATTACAGGAGAAGGTCCCAAAATATGCCCTCAAATCTTATTTAAAAAATATAACCAAGCCTAAGGAAACAGCTAAAGATATCCTTTCAGTTCAGACAATGACAACAGCATGACAGTATTTCACTTTACTATGAACAATCTGCCATGTTGTCATGTATAAATCCAAACACCTTCTCACCCAAGTCTCCAATTTATCAGAACCTCATTCTTAGAGCTCAAAGAGACACTAGATATCTGGGAATTAACTCACTTCTTAATGGCCTTTGGATCAAAAAGAAATGAGAAAATATTTTAAAGTGAATGTAAATGAAAAGGCAACATATCACCCTCTGTGATATGCACCTAAGGCAGTACGTAGAGGGAAATTCATAGCATTCAAAGCTTATTATTAGGGGGAAAAAAAGCTATCACATCAATAATCTGAGTTTCCACATTAAGAAACTGAAAGAATAAAAGCAGAATAAAACCCAAAGCAAGCAGAAGAAGAAAAAAAAGACTAGAGCAGAAACTAATGACATTTCAAACAAAAACAAAAAATAAACGGAAAGACCAATACAGTTGATAAACCTCTTGCCGGACTTACCAAGAGAAAAGAAGACATAAGTTATGAATATCAGGAATCAAAGAGGCAACATCAGTATGTTTTATAGACATTAAAAGGATAAAAAAGGTATGTCACAAACAACTTCATTCCCACAAATTAGCCAACACAGATGAAATAGACAAATTTCTTGAAAAAAGATACAAAACTCTCATTTCCAAATCCTTTCAACCAAGAGGGAGGCAGAGGGGAACTTAAATAAAGCATAGGAACAGGGAATAAACTAAACACTTGCTTTTGAGGTATTTTTAATACTGTTCAAAGGATGGTAGGTTCTTCAGTATAAAATCTCCAAGTGTCTCAAGTTTCCCTCTGTAATTCTGAGGCTACAAGAAAAATAACTGGTCTTGCCAAGATTTGTGAGGCAGGCAATTGACATCCAAGAATTTAACTAAACCCCAAACTTAATACAGCAGTTTCTATTCCCTGAGATCTAAATTCTAATTGGGTGAACTTCAGTAAAAGCACAAGATTCTGATAATAGTAGGTTGCAAAGTGATACCACATCTGTGAATATACTTCTGGATGCACCCAGCACAGGCTGCATTCTTAGAAAAGGGTTGTATTGTGAGCAGATGCCTCACAGAATTAACAGCCTTCCATTCCTGCACCCAGCTTGATACAGAGGTCCATGGGCCCACACTAGAAAGGCTAATTATAACTGCAGCTATGTTCTCCAGTCCTATACAGACCCACACAAGGGACTGAAAATTTCCTCAAGGCCTATCCTCATGCTCTAAAACCCACCAGTCACAGTCCTATACTACTTAAGAGAGATCTCAAAGACCACAAGGGGATAGGGATTCCGTAACATAATTCCTGGGAACCATATTGCTTCCATTTTTAAGTCAGGAAAAACAATCCATATATTCCTATATTTTAATCATGATGTTAACCCAAATCTAGACACCTGGGCTGTATTAATGCCTCTTTCCTCATCTGCAATATTAATAACTAAAATCCTGAAACTGGATCTCACATTGACCTTTGGGGAACTTCATTTTCTTGGTGCAGATTAAAACCTTTGTTTTGAACTTAAAATGAGCTTTGAGATCCTGCTGTAATATATTATTCTTTTACATTTACTTCAAATAAATATTCTACATGTTTCAAAGCTTTGAGATAATAAATTTATGCTTCCAATGTTTGATGTGCAGATGGAAATGATAAGGTTTGCTGAAGAAGAATAAATGACCTGGAAAATGTTCACAATATTCCATTAGATGATAAAAGCAGTGACATTATATACACAGTCTGTCTTTAACTATGTAAAATTAGAAAAAGAGATATAGAATTATCTGATTAGAGAAAATGTTATAAAAGCATTATGTTAATAATGATTATCCTCTATGAAATCACAGGTGACTTTTATTTTTTTTGAGCATTTTGGCATTTTAAACAAATTTCTGTGATGAATGAGCATTAATTCTGTAATACAAAATAGCTGTCAAAAGAAATTTTATGAGAAAGACAATTTAGAAATTCCAATTCCCTACCAGAGAACTACAGAACTAGAAGGGATCCTGAGAGTTTTCATCCCAGGAGTTCTGAGTTTACAGTAAACCACTCAGGCCCAGGGACTTCACAATGCACTTAACCTGAAGGGTTTAAACTAAGAATTCCTTCAGAATTAACCATTCTAATATTGGGATATGCAAAGGCACAGCTCATCATAATATCAACAGTAATAACATGAGTATATGCAAACAATGAATCATGGAACACTACATCAAAAACTAATGATGTAATGTAGGTGATTAACACAATAATAAAAAAAAAGAAAAAGAAAAATAACATGAGTGATGAGCTCCCAAACTGCATGCAAGAGCCTTGTGGCCAACAGGAGACACTGTTCCACCTGAAAGCCACTGCCTCACCATGATACATGGATTGGTCAAATAGATGCTGCTTTTCATTTCCAATCTCATGGTAACAAATGTTCCTTCTCATTTTCTTAAACATAACCGTGGAAAAAACCTAGGGGTCAGGATGCTGGCTGTCAGGTGGGTGTGGCTGGAGATCATAACACTCACAAGGTCTAAAGCAGGAAAGGCGAGAGGAGCTATCTGTGAGGTCCACCTGCCAGGTCACAAGCACTGAGCAGAAGTCATGTGCAAGCGGACAAACAGAGGATACTGCACAAAAGGGTGTCAAAATTTAGAAGCCCTGGAGGAAGGGCAATGTGCCTCCCAGTGAGGGCTATTGAGAGGATGGCATCTGCTTCCAAGTGTCTTTTTCTGATGTCCCTGCAAATCAGGTGAGCCATCTGAGGGTGGACATGACCTGCAGCCCAGACACACCTGATAGGCAGCAGTAAGTGCCTGAGATAACATAGCACCACAATTTCACAGCCTTATGGAAAGAAGTTTCTGGAGTGGTTCCCTTTTATTGCCTGCAAATATCAGGAGCAGGAGGGAATAGTCCAGCACCAGAAGAAAGGAATAACTCAACAGCCTGTTTGAGTCTCTCAAAGATGCTGATTTCCAGCTGATCTGCTTCTGGCTTCAGGCCATTCAAACAACCACAAGATGTAAGTGCCTGAGTTAAGATACACAGACCACAGACCTGCTCTCCAAACCACTGTCAAAAGAATCCAGCTTTTATGTATTTATTTCAGGCCACAGCTAGGAATCTAATTCGAATTCACTTACTTAGAAAAGAAAGGCTGTTCTATGAGAAAACATGAGTGTCTGAGAAGTCCATGTTATAAGAGAAGGATTCGCTCTGACTTAGCATTTGTAGAGATTCCAGTGAACTGAACTGTCAAGTGAAGAATCTCTGCCTTTACACAAGGGCAAATGGGCCTGACTTGGTGATGAGAACATGGGGACAGTGATTCAATTTCCTGATTAAGACAGAAAATTTTAGGCACCTGGGTGTCTCAGTCGGTTAAGCATCTGAATCTTGATTTCAGCTCAGGTCTTGATCTCAGGAGTGTGAGTTCAAGCCCCAGCATGGAGCCTACTTAAAAAGAGAAGAGAATGAGAGAAGAAAAAAGAGGGAGGGAGGGAGGGAGGGAGGGAAGGAAGGAAGGAAGGAAGGAACGAAGGAAGGAACGAAGGAACGAAGGAAGGAACGAAGGGAGGGAGGGAGGAGAGAGACAGGAAAGCCTGGTGTGGTGTGCTAAAGGAAGAAACTTCAACAGCAATTAGTTTTTATTTTTGGCTTAACTTCTACGCTATCTATTGCTCACGTATATTTGTATGTATTTAATCAAGCCAGTCTTACAGAACTGAACTGTTTTTGTCCAAATGAAATTTCTGCAATGACAGGCTTGTTCTGTGTCAGCACCATCCAATATGGCAACCACTAGCCAAATGTGGCTACTGTGACTAAGGAAATGAATTTTAAATTTTGTTTAATTTTAATTAATTTATGCTTAAATATCCACATACAGGTAGCACCTACTGTATTAAATGGCATACTTCTAGGTTATCTGTAAGCTTAGCTCAATGCTTTAGCAATAAAGAGAATCACTAACTATGGCCAGCTTCTTGGCTATTTATTTTCTAATAAATGAAACTGAGGTAGAAGCCTAGGCGCTTGGAAATCCAACCCTACTGCTGGCAAAGTAACATAATGTACCTACTCTGTATCAGCCTCCTGTATAATAACAAAACCCAGAACAACATTAAGGTTTGGGAATAATAACCACCTCCAGGTTAGAAGAGAGAATGGGGCAGAAAATAATTTTTGAAGAAATACTGCTTAAAATTTCCCAAATGTATCAAAAGACAAACATTTACAGGTTCAAGAAGCTCAGAAGACCCAAAGCAGTCATCAGAGTGAAACTCAAGATGTGATACAGATGTTGGAATTATCAGACAAGGGAAAATAAATGCGATTAATATGTTAAGGGCTCTAATGGGTAAAGCAGACAATATGTAAGAACAGATGGGTAATACAGCAGAGAGATGGAAACTCCAAGAAAGAATCAAAAGGAAATGCTAGAAATAAAAAACACCATAACAGAAAGAAAGAATGCCTTTGATGGACTCATCAGTAGACTGAGCACAGCCAAAGAATCAGTGGGCTTGAAAACCGGTTATTGCAAACTTCCAAACTGAAATGCAAAGAGAGAAAAGAATGGGGGGAAAAGGGATGTGGGGCAATTGCAAAAGATATAACATACACATAACTGAAATACCAGGAAGAGAGAGAGAACAGAGCAGAAGTATTTGAAGTAGTAATAATGGCCAAGAATGTCCCAAACTGCAAAAAAACAAAGAGAAAATCTTGAAAGAAGCCGAAGGGGAGGGGAGGACAGGAGGAAGGGGTAAGAATGGGGGACAGCTGTGAACCCACCTTACCCACAGCGGAACAAGGATGAAAACTGCAAAGGGCTTCTCAGAAGAAACTATGCAAGCAAGAAGAGC